TTCTCCTCAGGGGCTGCGAGGGACGGGCGGGGAGAAGCGCGCAGCACGATGCCCTGCCGTTCTGTAGGTTATGTTGTCCACGTGCTAAATAAGAGCTAGAAGTTTACCTCTTGCTCGCCTGGTTTTGTGGGTGCCTCCTGGTGAGTTAGGCAAGCTCCACACAGATTCGTCATGAATGCACAGGTGTCTGGGATGAACGAGGTAACACCAGTTCACTGAATACTGAATCTGTGATATTTACTGGAGAAAAAAGAATTATTTCCTTGCAGTGTTCAAGTGAGAGCATCGTCTTGTGTCAAGTGCTTACTCCAGAAAGCAGGAATACTCATATTTTAAAGACTAGAAGTTTTTTTTAAGCATTTTAGAAGATCTCCATAACTCAGTTTGAGCATAGCCACATCTTTTAAGTGCTACATTGTAGATTACTTTCAACTATTCTGTTCTATTAATGCACACAAACAGTAAAACATCATTGACATTAATTTCTCCATCTATAATAGTGTTACAATATGAGAACAGTGCTTGAATACAGTGTACTATATAAACTAAGATATAATGCATTAAAAACATCAGTATAATAGAGGACAATACATCCTAAATACAGCATTTAGAGGTGCTTAACAACATAAATGTAAAGTTTGCATTAAAATTTGCTTTGTGGTTTACTACTTCACAGCTAAAGTTCTTTACTAAACTACTTTATTAGCCATCCTAAGCCTTAATAAAAATTCCTAATATTTTGTTATTTCAGATACTATTGCTAGTTACCTTTCTGGGCACAGAGCAGCACCATCGCTGTCAGGAGAAGGACCAGAGCCCCCAGAAGGTAAGCTAAATTCTTGTTAGCTGTATCTTAGGGGATAAAGAGGTGAGAAGGGCTTGAAGTAGAAACCAAGCCCACCGTCTCAGCTGTTCTGGGTTTGCCAAGGCAGGCAGGGAAAATGATAAAATCTGCATCTGGGCAAGGTGCCCTTTAGGCTTGTAAGGCTGAGGGAGTCTTGGGGAGTTAAGGTGGCTGCTCAAGCTTGCTTTGTTCAGTAGTAAAGGCCTGTAGCATAACTGTAGCGTTAGGCCTTCAAGTTTCTTTCAAGCAATCAAAAAGGTCTGTTTATGGTTTGATAGCTTTTGTATATATAGCTTACTTTTTGATTATTTTGTCTTCTAATTTAGCATAGTATCTGATGCTCTTATTTATCTTTTTTTAAAGCTTTAGTATCTAGAAGATTTTATGGAACTTGTTTGTTTGAATGACACTTGCCTTTTTATTTTTAACTGGAATAGGATGCTTCATTCCCCTGAGCATAGAAGCCTTTTGCATGGCCATGGAAAACTTTATTGCCCTATTTCAGTTATGATGCGCGGAAGGAACTAGCCTCAAACAATGGGTAACGCTGATGAGCAAGGGCAAGGATGGCAAGGGAAATACTTATGGTATACCTCAGACAGAAGCTAAACTTTAAAGGAATTTGTCCTCAGCAAGGAGAGCATGCATCTGGCTTGACCTGTCATGGGTTTGAGCAGATAAGCCTGTGACTTAGTAATGGGTAAAGCAGAACTTGATGCTGTTCTCTGCGATGCTTTTGTCTTCCCAAGCACCCACCTTATCCAAAGGTAGTTTCCTATGCCATGCTGAGATATAGGAGCTTCCTGTTGGCTCTTGGGCTGAAGGCAGAAATCCCCTGCTGTTGGCGGTAATGGTTAGCGCGTCACTTTGTGAGCCTCAGGGGTACAAAGAGGATGGCGTGGGGCAACAGGGGTCTCAAACCAGAGACAGTCTGCCTCCAATAAAGCTGCATGAAGGGACTTTCCTTCTGTAATGGGATTACTCATATGTAACTGTGGCAGTGAGCTTGGCACTATTTTCTGAAAAATTAAGGGTTTTTTTTGTTTATTTGTCTAAGTGACATGTTGTCCCTTCACAGGGATGTCCTAAAAACTGTTGTTCTGAGAAAGAGCAGTGTAAATACTTCAAATTAAGTAACAGTGAACTGATGATAATTAAGATAGGATAGCGGATATTTTTCTTGAGTAGTTATAGCCAAATCATAAGGGTAAGTGTTGCCAGCGTTTTTTCCTTTTCTGTGTTACACATGGGGCTTGTTTTCCACTATGGTTTGCAAACTTTAGACTGGATCCAAATGACTGTAAACTGTACTGTTGTTTTTTATGCCCTTCCTATCATCAGATTGTTTTAATCCACAAGACCTTGTAAAATTCACCTCTCCTTACATTAGCTTGGGTTATGCCAATATTGCAATGTATGTTGGAGTGGACGGAACTGTTGGTGTAACAGAACATGTGGTTAGGCTGCTGTTAGGCTGAATCTGGGATACCTCAACCAAGTTATTGGTTGAGCTAGTGCATCTGGACTTGGTCAAACTTCTCTATGTATTCCATCAATCAGAGAGATTACAAAGAAGCAACAAAAACTGTGGTTTGTGTGATATGGTGCGATAGCTAAGTATAGCTATTGTAGCTACCCCAGTTCATTTTCATAAAGGTATGAGATCTCCTGGTATCTGTCATACTTTCACCTTCTGAAAGTACTTCCTGAGTGTTTTGAGAGGGATAAAGCAGATAACAGCCTTGTGTTCTCTATTGCATCGCTTAGAAGAGGGTCCTGTGACTATGCTTTTTCTCTTTAATAACTGTTGAAAGTGTTAATAAATGTCAATTCAATTTGAGATCATGATAGAGATATTAGTGTTACTATGTTTCTACAGGTTTGATGAAAATAGAAGAACAGAGACTCTGAGGGTTCCTGTGTATAGTGAAAAATTTGGGTGACAGAAACTGCTCATGGGGGACAAATACATTTTTGTTGTCACACTTAACTGCATTTCTACTGGGATTTGTGGTGGTATTAAGGCTGTGATATCTGTATCTTTTTATAGTAACTTCCTAGAAATGTTTTTATTCCCTATTCTGTGCCCCCACCCCTGAGAAAAGTTGCTCTGTTCAGGAAGTGTCTATGGATACTGAGCATTCTTTTTGAATCTGTTTCCCGGAGTTTCATGGTTTTTGGCTACTGAGGTGGACAAACAGTCTTCAGATCATCTTGGAGGAGGTTTCCGCTTGTGACTGCCATTTAAAAAGTAGCTCTGGAGTGTTTACTAGATGTTAAGCAGTAGCTTGACACATCAAAATACAGCTACTTCATCTTAAGTCTTGCTGTCCTCTAGCCTTCTACAGAATCACAGAATGGTAGGGGTTGGAAGGGACCTCTGTGGGTCATCTAGTCCAACCCCCTGCCGAAGCAGGGTCACCTACAGCAGGCTGCACAGAACGTTGTCCAGGCAGGTCTTAAATATCTCCAGAGAAGGAGAATACCACTCGGTAGCTCAAGCTACATTTCAGGTTAGGGTTTTCTTCTGAAATAAATGGAAACTGGGCATGGATTGTTACATGAGTATGTTAAATGCTAGTTTTTCAGCAAATGTGGATTCTGAATATAGTTTAAGGAATCCAGTTATGTGCCAGTATCAAACCCAACAGCAGAAGAATGTGCTAAAGGCTTGCTTAAAAAAAATTAAAGTAGTCAAATCAGTACCTTAAATGAGTTATGAGCAAAGCACAAGTAGGTAATGTAAATGCAGCTGCATTTTCTTCCTGTGTATTGGCAGTCCAGTTAGAGGATGCATAGAATACCTGCAATAAAACAGATACTATAGTTCCATGAAGTGATTGGTCCCTAGGAGTTCCTGAGGCATAGGTGCTAGCAGAGCAAGGCAGGTTTTTTGTCTTATTAAGGATTTCCAGAGCATTCTGCCTAGTT